GGCCGGGAAATGCAGCCCGACACCCTGCTCAGCCCACGGCACCCGAGGCCAGGCCTGCACACACCCACTCCTCTATGAATCACCCACTTGTCGGTCCCGGCCCATCTGGTGGGTGAGCCCCCAACATCCTCCTCACACACACCACCTGGATGGCCCCTGAGACAATAGGCATCTTGGAGCCAACAAATGCTCAGGCCTGGCCGGGGGCTCAGGGGACGGGACCCTCCAGGTGGGCCCACCCACCAGGCTACTGGGCTCCACACCCCGGTATTCTGCCCACCCCACGTGCCCACCCCTCACATGCCCACGAGAGACGAGGCTGCCGGTGCTTGGAGAGCTGGTGCTGTCCCAGGGCTGGGAGGCACTAAGGCACTCCACTGGAGGCCAGGCCCCAAGAAGCCTGTGCCTGGAGCCGGGGCAAGGCCAGCATTGGGTGGGGGTGGGGCTGGGGTGCTGCTGTCCCCAGGACACGGCCCCCACGGTGCTGGGTTCTGGGTTGACTGAGCCCCACTCTCGGGATCATCTCTGGTATCAGCCACTTAAACGACACAGACCCCGTGGGAAAGGGGGTGGGGTGCATTGCACAAGACACTTCAGCTGCGGGAAAGCAGGCTGCACTGACCCACACGGCTGCCAGGGCCCCGCCAGTGTCTTGCTGCCCCCCAGTGGCCGTGTGAGGACAGAGGGGATAAGGCTCATGGAGACTCTCCTGCCATCTCGGGTCGGGGGCTCTCGCTGCGCCCTGAGGACCAGATCCCACCACTCGCTGTCCCACTGCAATGCCCAGCCAGCGAGGCCTCGAGACTGGCTGGAGGGAGGGTCTCCCACAGGCCCTGAGACCGCCTGGAAGGCCAGCTCCTAGAAGGCAGCCCCTGGGACAGCGCCAGCACCAGAAGGCACTCAGGACACAGGACCAACAAATGCCCGGCTCTGGCAGGTGGGCAGTGCTGTGGCAGGCCTGGGCCTGGCCAGAACCCCGAGGAGAGGCACCTGAAGCTGGTGAGCAGCAGCATGAACCCCAACAGGGTGGACAGGCCGAGTCCAGGGGAGCAGATTTGCCCAAACCGGTCACCTTCGCACACCTTGGCTTGCAGCCTACTGGGCTGGACAGAATCTTTCCCTGGGACTTTCCGGGCTGTGCCCTTCTCTGACAAACTCTGCCCTCACTCACTGCGGCATCCACACGGCTGCGCAACGTCCCAGGCCTGACACCCTCCTGAGATGACCCAGAGGCTTTCAAACAGGAGGGTGCTGGCGTGTTGGGAGGTCAGCAGGGCTGTCCTGGTGAGCTGGTAGCACTGGGCACACCAGGGCTCCGTCCACAGAGCTGGGCACTGTCACCCCTGGCCCGCTTCCTCAACCCAATGACAAAGGGGTCGCTGGGGTCAGAGTCCCACCTGACTCTCACCAAGGCCAGGACTCACTGTGACCAACTGTGAACTACCGCATCTGCTCTTCACAAGACTCTTGAAATCTTACTGTATTTTTAAACACAGAAAGCATACTTTAAAAAACATTTACACACACACTGCCCTAGCAGGTTTGGCTCAGTGGATAGAGCAGTCGGCCTGCAGACCAAAGGGTCCTGGGTTCGATTCCAGTCAAGGACACATACCTTGGTTGCAGGCTCTTCCCCAGCCGGGGCCCTGGTAGGGGCATGTGCAGGAGGCAACCAATCGATGTTTCTGTCTGTCTTTCCCTCTCTCTAAAAGATCAATGAAAAATATCCTCGGGTGAGGATTAACAAAAAAAAAAATTTACACAATTTATTAACATGTTTTACCGTTTTCTTTGCTCACAGAAAATATTTTTAAACTTATTTTGGTGAAACAGATTCATAGGAAGTTAAAAAGAACACAGAGCATCCTGGGTGCTACTCACCCAGCTTCCCCGGATGGGAGTCACAGCTTCCATACTATCTAGCTATATAAAAAGCTAATATGCTAAGTGTCCTTCCCTCTGTCCGGGTAATGACACCACGTAGCAACGTCCGGCTTCCTCTCCCTAGCAACCAGCCTCCTTGGAGTTTCTTCAGCCCAGGAACACCACTTGCTTCATAGCCAGGTGCAAACACTTTACACTGTAACCAAATGTCTGTGAAGCGTTTTCCTGTGCCTCATCTCATTTGATCCTCACAGAAGTTCCGGAGTAGGTAGATAGGAGACACAGTAGAAACCTATTTTATTTTCATTAGCTGAAAATGGAGATTTAGAAAGCTTAGAAACTTGACCCAATTGAAAAGAAGAAATGGTGGACCTTGAAAATGACTTCAGGTTTTCTCACTGCGCAGAATGTAGTCAAACACGCTGCAGTTAAATATTTACTCTTTGTTTTCCCTGCATGTTCTACAATACAGACAGTCTTCAGGTTACATCGGACTCAATGTATGTCATTTCGTGGTTACATCGCCATCTCCATTTATTAAAAAAAAAATTTCATTATTTTGACATTGTACATATGTGCTTTATGTTTTTTATTATTTATCTACCACAAGTAAAAGTCAGAAATTGTTATCTTTTAATTTTTTTTTTTACTGTTTCACTTAATTACTGCTGTGTCTGTGCTCCATGTGAGTGACGTAGGTGCTTATGTAGGTGGGTTCCAACTTACGATGAAAATCGTGTTACGTCACGCAGCAGGAATGGATCTCCGACGTAACTCTACGTGTGTGTGTATATATATGGCTAAGCTGACTTGTGCATGCGTGATACACGTAGAGCTCTCACTGGCACCAATCACACATGTGTGTTTCCATCTGTCATTGTCAATTGTGAGTTTGGTTGATACTTCTATTACAGAGAAAGGGCAAATAGCGATATTAAAATATTTCTTCTAATTTCCTTTCAATGTGCATGAATTTGTGCACCAGGCCACTAGTAGCACAATAAATCCAGAAGTGACATGTGTGGTTCATTCCACGTGATCACACGTGTGCACTTGCGTAATCCCCACTGCCATCAAAAGCTATTCCAACACCACAGAGATCTCCCTCATGATACTCCTTCCTAGTCCCACCATTCCTAAACCTTGGCAGCCACCCATCTGTTCCTTCTCTATGATTTTGTCATTTCATGAACATCACAGAGGAAATCCTATAAGACATGATCTTTACTACATGCGTGTACTTTTCACTCCTCCCAGCCATGCCTTCAATCTCCTGCCATGCCGTTCACTGCTGAGTAGTATTCCATGGCACAGATGCACCGGTTTAATCCATCAAAGGGAATTTTGGGTTTTTTTAATCCTCATCCAAGGATATATTTTTTAATGAATTTTAGAGAGAGAAGAAGGGGGAAGAGAAACATCAGTTGCCTCCCATACGCACCCTGACCGGGGATTGAACCCACAACCTTTTGGTGTACGGGACGATGCTCCAATGAGCCATTGGGCCAGAGCTGTGGGTGTGTGTTCACAGAATAAAACTTAAATTGTCAAAAAAACAAAACAAAGAACACCTTAAATTGTCCACGTCGGGAGTCCTGAGTACAGGACCGGGAAGGAACCCCTGGAAGACTGCATGCCATGTGCGAGGGACTCCTGGCCATGCTCATTTCACCCTCTGGGGGCAATGTTTTCATTTCAAACTGAAGGCAAGGAAGTCACACTGAGCCTAGATCTAGGTCTGGCGACGACTTGGCAACCTCCGCTCCGTGTGTCTTTAAACTGACACATCATGGCGATGACACACCAGGCTGCTGCGAGCCTCTGTGGACTCTCTCTGCTCCTGCACTGCTGCCTGCGTGGACAGCTGATTTCTCGGCCAGGAGAATGGGTGCTGGGTTTTATGTTAAGTACACATTTAGTTTCTGAGGAAATTGCACAAGTATTTCCCAGAGTAACTAGCGTTTACTTCCCGCCTACAATGTGTGAGGTTTTCCGCTCGTCCAGGTCCTGCCAGTATTTATCACCGGCTTCACTGATGCTGTTCGTACAGGCATCCGGCGTCTCCTCATGGCTTCGACTGGCATTTCCCTGATGGCCGGTGGTGCTCAGTAGCTTTCACGTGCCTGCCGCTGATATCACCTGGAAAAGTGTCCCTTCTTGTCTTTTTTCCATTTCCTATCGGACTTTTCCCCCCTTTTTACTGTTGCGTTTTGATAACGCCGTATACTGTTTTAGTTAGGAGGCTTTTATCAGGTATGCGCTCTGCAAATATTTTCTGTCTGTAGCTTTTCTTTTCATTCTCCTCAGACTTTGTGGGAGCAAAAGCGTTTCATTTTGGTTAAGTCAAATTTCACAACATACTTTTTATGGGTTGTACTTTTGGTCTCATGTCTTAAGAATTCTTTACCAAGCTTGGGGTCCTGAATGTTTTCTCCTGAAAGTTGTTATAGTTTTACATTTTACATTTAACCCTCTGACCCATGTTGACTTCTGTCAGGTCCAAGGCTTCGGTTGGGGATCCTCTCAGCCTATGGCTGTCCCATGGCTCCAGCACCGCGTGCTGAAGACCGTGTTTCCTCCACGAGCTCACACATGAGCGGCCACTTCTGACGTGCCCGTTCTCTTCCATGATCTCTGTGCCTGCCTTCCACCAGCCCTGTAGCTTCACAGTGAGTCTTGGGATGGGTAAAGACTCCCCATGCTTTAGTCTTCTAGCTCAGACTTGTTTGAGCTATTCTAGTTCTTTTGCCTTTCCTGATGTATTTCACTTTTTTTGTTATTCCTCATGAGGATATTTTTTCCATTGAATTTTATAGAGTGGAAGGAAGAGAGACAGAGAGAGGAACATCGATGTGAGACACATGGACTGGTTGCCCACACGTGCCCTGACTGGGGCCAGAGGCAGAGCCTGTAACCAAGGTGTGTGCCCTTGACCGGAATCAAACCTGGGACCCTTCAGTCCTCGGGCTGACACTCTATCCACTGAGCCAAACTGGTCAGGGCTCCTGATCCGTTTTACAATAATCCTGTCTACACTTAAAGATTTTATTAGGATTTTGATAGGAGTTGCATTAAACCTGTATATTAATTCTCCAGTAAAACCACCTGGGCTTGGAGATTTTTCAGAGGTTTTTTAATTATGAATTCAGGGTCTTTAATAGTTACAGGGCTATGCAAATGACCTCCTTCATCTGGAGTGAATTGTAGTTTATGCTTTTCAAGGAATTGGTTCATTTCATCAGCCTGTCAAACTCACATGGGCATTTACTTACAATACCCCCTTCCTGTCCTTTTGTGTCTGGGGAATCTGTAGTGATCACCTTATTTCACTCCTAATATTTATATTAATTTGTGTCTTTTTTTGTTGTTACCTCTGTCTTGCTAGATCAGTCAATGCTGATTTTTGCAATGTCTACCTATCTTTGCTCACCATTTCTTCCTACCGCCTGTGGCAGGCCCTGCTGGCTGCCCTCCCAGCATCCTTTCTCTCTTCCTTTTCCATGGAACCTCAATTTCAATCGTGGTGGCAATGGGTCCAAGCTGACCCCTGCACGGACCCAGGCTCCTCCCTCTGTCCCACTGCGAGGGGCCCACAGAGCAGGGGGAGCCTCTCTAGCTGCCCCACGAAACACAGCAAGCCTAGCCCCACGCAGGTCTCCAGACTCTCTCAGACCTCTGTCCCTCCAGGGTTCTGAGATGACCGCTGCCCAAGGACTGAGCCCGGAAGGTCAGCCCATATGCTCAGCCACACACAGGGCTTTCTCAATCAAGCATCACCTCTACACACCCTGTCTGGGACCCAAACTCAAGCACCCCAAGGACCCAGGAAATATTTGATAGATTTGTGCCACACACAGGGGTCTGCTTACTTCTATTTACAGAAAAGACCGTCCACAATATATACATGTACACACACGTGCGCAGGCCACAGAGCTGCTCGGGAGACAAGCAGCTGGCTCTCCCCACGGCGGGCTCCCCCTGACGGGGTGGGGAGCCACTGCTCTGAAGGCAAACGGGAAGTGATGGCCAGCTCAGCCCCCACGCTGTCCAACACCTTCCTCCCACGGGGCAGGCCTCAGTCGGAGTCGCAGGCCTCTTGTTCACTGGTGGCGTCCACTGCAGAGGCCAGGCTGTCCTCCTGGCCTTTCAGCCTCTCACCTGGATGGACAGCAGACAGGGGGTGGGAGAGGCCCCGCACCTGGGCTGCCACCCAGAGGGCAGGGACCCGCCTCGCCAGGCCTGCACTCACGGATCAGCTCGGCGATGGCCCTCTGGGTCCGCTTTTCCAGCTTCTCCAGCTTCTTGGCTACGTCTCTCTTGAGGTCCCTACCGCAGGGAGGGGCAGGAGGCCAGAGGCTGAAGACGGCCCGACGTGGCCCCGAGCCCACCTTGCCTGCAGCCCCTCGGGCACCAGGACTAGCCAGGACGCTCCGCCCACTTCCTGCGCCTCCGAATTCAGCACCTGCCATCCCTCCCAGCCCAGGGAGGCAGGGACCAGCCCGGAGACCCACCCACTGAAGTCCAGGTGTGCAAGGTGGACGGCTCCTCTGGCCCCTCAGTCATTGCTCAGAAGCGACCTGCCCAGTGCGCTGAGTCCTGCTCCTCCTCCACCCGGAGCTCCCAGAAGGCACCCACGCTGTCCCCTGGCTCTGGGTTCCCAGGACTTAGGACCCAAGCTCATTTCATCAACTTTAAACACCTCCCTCTGGCGCTGTCCCTGACAGACTTACAGACGAGAGGAAGAGGCCTACCCCTGGCCCAGGCCCGGCACCAAGCGCTCCCGCCCCTCAGTCTGCACAGGTTCTCCCCTTGCAACACTTACCAGTCCGGCTTCCGGGGTGCGAGGTTGGCCAGGTCCTGGGGAGGAAGGAGACACCTGTCAGGGCCAGAGGGGCCCCACCCCAAAGGAAGGAGGGAGATGGACAGAGGTAGGAAAACAGGAGGAAGAAAAGGAGGAAGGAGGGGTGAGGGGACGTGGGAGGTGGAAAGGGAAACAAGAAGGGAAGAGAAGGGAGGAGGGAGGAGAGCAGGTGCAGGAGAAAAGGCCTCAGGAGGGGCGAGAACGGGCCACTCGCCACCCTGCCACTCACCACTTCCTCAATGACTGGCTCGGGCTTAGCGGCCTCCAGTTGCTCCCTCACCTTCTCTTCCACTAGAGGGCACAAGACAACAAGGGGGGCTGGGAGAGGCTGCCACTTGCCTGGTGACAGCAGCTGCAGCCACGGCAAGGGAAGAGGGTGCAGGCAGGTCCTGGGGACCTCTCTTGTCCCCTTGGCCCCCAGCCAGCCAGACGGAAGACCCTGGAAGGTGGCTCTGGAGGAAGGCTGGGGGCTCCCAGGATGAAAGCCATCCGGGCAAAGCAGGCAGCTGGCGTAGTCAGAGCCAGACTTCGCCCCCAGCTGTGAATACATCCAAAGTGGGTTCTGGGCAGGGCCCAGAAGACCGGCTCTCCCCAGTCTCCAGGGGCCCAGGATTTCCTCCCATCTCCCGTGCTCCCAGACGGGGACGGCCACCTGGAGGCGCACTCGGCGCACCCTGGGCCTCCAGGCAGTGACCGGGGACCTGGCCCTGGGGCACAGACGCTGGGAGCCCTCACACCAAACCTGGGCTCTACAGGCTTCTGCCAGGCTCATCAAAGGCCCCACGTTCCCTCAGGGCCCCCGTCCTGCCTCCCCCTCCAGCCATGGGTACTGCCCCCGAGGCATGGGACCAGCTCCCTGTCCCTCTCCTCTGTCCTGCCTCACTGTCCCCTCCCCACAAGGTGCCACTGGACCCACCACAGTGGGGCCCAAAACACCCGGGACACATGGGAATTTCAGGGGCAAAGTAGATGAGGAAGCAGATGGGTGTGGCTGAAAAGGCAGCACTTTGCTGTTTTACAAGATAATGTATTTATTCACTTATTACTCATCGAATTGAAAGCAAAAATGAAGTTTAAAAGGGTCAGGGACCTGCGTGACAAGAACCCCAGCATCTCCGGTGCAGGTGGCTGGGGACAGGCCACTGCTGGCCGATGCTCCTGGCTCCTGGCTGCTGCCCACACTTGTAGAGTGCAGCCCTCGGCGGCGGCCCTCACCCACCGCAGCACCTCTCCCGGCCTCTGGGCCTGGCGCTGTCACACCTCCACCTGGTGGGCGTCCGCCTGCCCTGCTCTTGCAGCACCTGCCCTCATCGGGGCCTCTCTCTGACCTTCATGGGTCCGGGCACCACTTCTCAGCCCAGAGGGTTCCTCTGAGATGAGGCCTCTTCCCTCCAAGGCCCCTGGGAGGCCCCCCAGTCGGGTGCGAGCAGGGCAGAGCCCGGCCTGCTTCTCTGCGGTCACCAACACTGACCACGTGTGCACCTGCCAGGAAGTGGTGGGGAGGGTGCTAGAGGCCCAGCTTCCTTTCAATGGAGGCACTGACAGTGCCCGAGCAGAGACCAGCACCTACCTGCCACGGGCTTGGCCTGGGGCACCCGCCTCCTCTTCAGGTCCTCGTCCTCGGGGACATAGTTCCGCAGCCTGAGTTCCCTGCGCAGCAGAGACGGCAGAGACGGCGTGAACGGGGGACAGTCTGGGTCACCGCAGACACATGCAGGCCAGACTGACGAAGCCACAGCTGTGACTTCCCCCTTCCTCTCTGGAGCGGCCCCGGAGGAGGAGGCCGGGGACAGAGGTGCTATGGGCCCGCCCTCTGCGCCTCAGCCCCGCATCTCTCAGCAGCTGGCTGGCAGCTCTCCCAAGGCCCTGCCCACCCTGCAGGCTGCCATGGGAGCTGGGGCTGGGGGGCCCGAGCAGCATTCACCAGCGTCTCCCCAGGATTATCTTCCTCTGACAGTTACGGGAGCTGAGGGCCAGAGACGCCCCAATTGTAGATGGTCACACAGCAGAGCCCTGGCTGAGTTACTCCTGAAAGACAAAGCTGGTCGTCACCCACTGGTTCCCAACCTGGCCTCGTCCTCAGAGCCTCCGTGCCGGGGCCACTGGTACATCGTCCCTGGACTCTGATGGCAAGATCTGTGCTGGGCGTGGCCGGTAAGGGCTGAGGGGACTGGCAGGACACCGTGGAGGGCTGGGACAGCCACGCCCACCGTGGCAGAGCCCGAGACCTCTGTGAGGGAACCACGAGGGACCAGAGTCACACCGGGGACTGCCACAGGCACGTGCCCCTGTCCCCGCAGCTGAGTCTCCGCAGACTGGGGCCCCTGGCTCGGCAGCCCCAGTCCCCACCCACAGAGCCTCGCCTGCAGAGGGCCCTGGGGGCTGGTGCTTAATAAGGGGCCACTGGGCCAGGACGAGGCCTGAGGCAGAGTGTCCGGCCCACCTGCCGGCCAGGGAGGACTGCAGTGCGGGTCCTCATCCTCCCCACAACCTCCTAGGGGTCTTTCCGAGGACTACTGCCCTCAGACGTCCTGGGCCTCCAGGACAGAGGACAGTCTCCCAACAGCAGGCTCACAGTCTCATCTACCAAACCCCTCTGTGCCAGGCCACCAAGGGCTCCCGTCTGCCCCCACCCTGGCAGACAGCCTCTCCAGAGGGGAGGGCAGGTGCTGTGACCACACGGCCAGCACTGGCAGCAAGCGGTCTGGACGTGGGGACTTCAAGTTCAATCCCTATTCACCAGTACCTGCCCCATCCCCTCTTCCAGGGCCCCTGAGACCACAGCCCCAGGGCCAGGCTGAATCTTTGTGCCCTGGGGGCAGTGCCCGCCTTGCCTCTGAGGAGCAGGGACACCAGCCCTGGCCCCCGGCCCCGCCCCTCACGCCAGCCCCAGGCCTCAGGTTAGTGGCAGATCAGGTTGCAGTGGGCGTGCCCCGCACACTGGCTTCCCCTCACCACAGGGTGGGGAGAAAAGCAGAAGAGAAACTGGGTGTGGGAAACTGCCGGGATTTGTGGGAAAAACACTGTCACTCTCAAACTGGCTCCAGGGTTCCGTGAGAAATCAGTCTCGAGAGTCGGGGGGGGAGGGGGAGGAGGGGGACTGTGTCAGGACCCTGAGCGGCACACGCCCATGCCCTCCCCTGCCCAGGCCTCAGCAGGGCAGCTGGACTAAGAGAGGACACGGCAGGGGACAGGGAGGTGCCAGAAGCCCCTGGGAAAACGCACAGCAGCCCCCAGCTCCCACTGCCCCTGTGCCCCTGGAGCTGGGCACTGGTCAGTCGTGAACACCTGGGTCCCGGTCAGTGGCCTGTCCCACTCTGGGCCTCAGCTTCCCCATCTGTACACCAGGAGGCAGGCTATGCTGGGTGTCAGGTCTGTCAAGCCAGGTTCAGGGCCTCCGGACTCACTGTGAGAGCTGATGAAGACACTGCCCCTCCCTCCCACCCCACTCACAGCCAAGGGCAAGCCTCTGGGAGAGGTCCTGGGCACAGGGTTCTGCTCAGGCCTGGCCTTTCCAATGCAGGACTGCGGCTTGTTTAAGCCCTCCCGCCCTCCGCAGACAACTTAAAAACCTGACAACGGACACAGGAGTGGGAAGTTAGGTTCACAGTTGTGAGCAGGCCAAACTCAGTTCCTTCTTGTATTCCTATTTATTTATGACTGTATCCTGAGGCCCGGCGCATGAATTCATGCGTGGGTAAGGTCCCTCGGGGCGGCCTGCAGAGACCAGGCCCCAGCTTGCGTCCCCAGCCTCGCAGCCCGCCGTGGCCTGGCGCCACCCCCTCAACTGCTCCTCCATGCCACTGCGCCCCGCTCTCTTCGGCCACTGGGGCCGGCAGCGCCTCCACTGCCACCCATTGCCAGCACTGCATCACCAGCGCCCACCATGTTCCGCGCCACCCCCTAGTGGTCAGCACACATCATAGCGAGCGGTAGAACGACCGCATATTAGGCTTTTATTATTTGGATTTATATTATTTGTTTTCTTACTATTGTTGTTTTATACCCTTGTGACTATCTTTTAGGTAATGATGGCTGGTAATTTAACCAACCATCACCAGCAGTGGATACGGGTCCAACTCTTGCCCACCTGTGAGTTTTTAAATCTGCTGGTGGCCTTGGAGAAGTGCCAAAGCCGCAGGGACCGGAGGGGCTGCACGCCCAGCAGAAGGCGGGGTCGCCCGATGGAGGGCAACTCCTCCTCCGTGAAGAATCTGTCTACTGGCAGCAGAGCCTCCTGCAATCCCGGGGCCTGAAGAGACAAAGTCTGTGTGCAGGGCAGCCAAGAAGCAGGGCCCGCCCCCCCACCCCCAGGCTTTCTGTCATGATCCCCACATAACCCCATCTTCAGAATCGGGGTGAACCTGAAACAGAAACAGAGGTGGGCATCGGCAGTCACCGGCGGCTGCCGTGGGAAGAAGGGGCCGTGTGACTGGGCACTGGGAGAGGAAACCTCTCCTTCAGGCCTGAGGGGTGGGTGGGCCAGGGCGCCCGAGCTCACTGCCCGCCTGCAGCTGGACCAATTCTCTCCCGAGCAGCAATTTCGACCGGTGCTGCAGGCATGTCTAAAACATGCAACACCTGACCACTTAGGCAGGAGCACTGACCTTCTCTCCTCAGATTATCAAACAGAAAAACAACAACAGCCAACACAACAATCACTGTCCAATGTGAATGAATAAACACTATACCTATTTTCTGTCAGATCAATGAAAAATAATATATTTTTTGGTGTGCCGCAGAATTTTAATAGTTCATTTATGTGTGCCATGAGATGAAAATGGTTGAAAATCGCTGCTCTAGAGGAAAATAAATTACCCGGAACCACAAATTATCTCTAGAACTTTTCATACCTAACATCCAGGATTCAATCAAAGCCGTGAGAAAAAATAAAGACAACATACACGGGTGATCCAAATATTGGGATGATTAGAAATGAAATGTAATATAATTAACACTAATAAAAGTTCAGGAAGATAAACCACAAGATGGAGAATTTCAGCAGACAACCTGAAACTGCAAAAATTAATCAAATGGGAATTATACAGTTGAAAATATAACCAACACTAAGGACTCAATAAATGAGTTCAACAGTAGTTAGGGCACATATAAAGAAAGGACTAGTAAACGGTAAGACAAGCCAGAAAATGTCCACAGAGAAGTTGGAAATTACAGAAAAGAGCATGAGAGACACATGCAACAGGATCAAAAGATCTGACATACATGTAATTACAGTCCCAGAGGCAATAAATAGATCACGACTGAGAATTTTTTACATTAATGAAAAACATCAACCCATCGATTAGAGAAACACTATGAACTCCAAAGAAAAGACCCCCAGGCAAATCTCTGTCCAACTACTGAACCCGAGACAAATGTGGTTTTTTCCTCAAAAATATTTTATTGACTTTTTTACAGAGAGGATCTAGCAGCCTTTGTCTATCATATCAGAACTAAGGAATCAACATGTCACCCTACATGACACGATCCTGACAAATACTGAGAAGATCAAACGGCCCCAGAGCAGCAAGGCCGAGACACCACACTGAGGCCGGGGCCGGGGGACTCTGTGAGTCTGGCTCAAGACCGACAGTGCCTTGGTTTGTTACATGACTATCGTGATGGGGAAACTGGCTGCAAACAGTAATCGCACCTCCTGTTTTCAGAGTCTGGTAAAACTCTCATGTCGTTAAACAAGAAAAGAAACGTGAAGCCCGGGGGCAGAGGTCTAGCGCGCCAGAGAGAAAGGCGGCTTCCCGACGGACTGCCGGGCCCACCTCCCGACCACATGGATCTGAGCGTCCACACTGCGGGGCAGGCGTCTGGCCCGGCCCCTGCCCCCTCTTCATGCCACAAGTCTCACCTGCAGGCCTGCCCTCTCTTCTCCCCGGTGCTCTCAGGGCCACTCCACCCCACTCCCGCGCACGCACCCTGCCCTGCACCCTGGAGAGGCAGAATGGGGCAGCCCCGTGTGGCCTGGGGGCCAGAGGGACAGTGGTGAGAGGCGCTCCTCAGCCACAGCCCTGGACACCAGCTCCGCCGGGCCATCAGCACCTGAGCCCAGAGGGCTCTCCGTCCTTGAACGTCCAGAGTAGAGCCGCAGGAGCTCTTCCCGGAACACCCCGCCCGCAGCACGAAGCCGTCTGCTTTAGCCTGTAGGCCCAGCACATGGAGACACTCCCTGTCCCCAACATAAACAAGGCCTGGAGCCCATGGAAAGGCGAGGCCACAATCCCTACCGGGACCACCACTGCTCCAGGCCTGCCCCAGTCCTCCCTTCAAGTCACATTAAAATGTTCAAAGCCCAAGGCTGTTTCCATGGTCACTGCCGCTGGCTGTTCACGGAGCTTGCAGGCGAGGACAGGAATGGCCGGGGTCCCCACGTGGGACTGATGGGACTGGCGGGCTCATTGTTCTCCATCAGACAGGGGCCAAAGGAGGGGCTGCTCCCCCTCTCGGATGGGAGGCCTTCGAGGCGACACTAGCGTGAATGTGGTTTCCTCACCTCAGGGTGGACCACACCCACCCCACCAAGGGGAAGACTGGGTGCGAAGGGCTCTGGCAGCACTCAAGGTCATGACATACAAGACCAAGACTTAATTCCAGGCAACAGGACCCAGCCACCCTCCCCCACAGTCAGGGCCAGTCTGCTTCCCACGGTTCCCATGACACACCATCCTGAAACCAGTCCTCTCTTGATTCAGTTGCCCACATCCCGGGGCCCACTCCTGAGCAACAGGATCAGGAAAAACAGGGTGACAGCAGGTGTCTGAGCTGCTGCTTCAGCAAAAATCCTGGAGCTATGGCCCAGCCCCCTGCCCACGGGCCAGCCCCCTGCCCACAGTCTGGCCCCTGCCCACGGGCCAGCCCCCTGCCCACAGTCTGGCCCCTGCCCACGGTCCAGCCCCCTGCCCACAGGCCAGCCCCCTGCCCACAGTCCGGCCCCTGCCCACGGGCCAGCCCCCTGGCCACGCTGGGACACCCTGGCCTGGAGCAGGAGGCGGGGAGGGAGCCGCTCTAGGAGGCACCACTGGAGTGGGGCAATGTTTGCCAAGTCAAGCTGACATCATGATCTGCGAGTGATCACACCCTGCTTCAGACACCATCCTGGGACCCAACCCACAGAGGCGAGAGGGCCTGGCGTTTACCAGCCTAAAGGGTTTGGGCGCCAGGCCTGGGCTGGGCCTCAGCTGGCGGGAACCTCTCTCCACATGGAGCTGGAGAACTAGTTTTCCATCCGGAGAAGGCAGGTTGGTACCACTTTCTCCACAGGCCAGGCCAGGATGTCCCCGAGCAGTGACTGTGCCAGCTGGGGTAGACATGGCCCAGAGCCAGAGGGAGGCGGCGGTTGTGGGCCCTTACGAAGGAGTGCCAACACCTCCCCTCTCCTCGGTCACAAGCCCGGCCTAGACCCGCCTCACGCACATACCAGCCAACCTGCCATGGGGAGTGACTGAGGCTTAGAAAGCAGAGCAGTTGCATGAAGCCCTCTCTGCAGGCCAGCTTCCCAAGGGCCCAGATCAGACAGGTGGCGGTGAACCTTTTATATCAGGACGCTGGGCAGGTGGCTGAGCAGACAGAGGGCCTGTGGACAGAGGCAAGAGCACCTCCTTTTGGGCAGCACTTCTCCTTTTGAGGGAGGTGGCGGCGGAGGGGCTGGGTTAGAGAGGAGGCATGGCCGCCCTGCAGAACAAGCCACAGGAGGGCAGGTCCAGCCCAGAGAAGAAGCAGGGACCCTCTGGGGGTGGGGTCCTGTCTTTCTCAGAGTGGAGCCTGGGCCGGTCGACCTAGAGGGGCTGACTCCCCCATGGGGATTAGGTTGTATGAGGACGGGACAGGATTTATCGCAAAGGGAGCAATAAAACTTAAAAAAAATTTGGGATCTAGAGAATCCATGCAGTTCCCATCAAAATCCTAGCAAGCCTTTCCATAAATATGAAGGAGCGGATCCTACAAGGATACGGAAAGGCAAAGGCGCGTGGACAGCAGGATCCTGGAGTCTCCTGGACAGACGGGCAGGCGCCCGGGCAGAGGAAGGTGGTGACTGCCCAGCACGGTGCTGAGGGGTGAGGCCCGGGGCGCCTGCTCCAACGCGACTGGAGTCCATCTCCTCAGCCACAGCCTGAGGCAGGACCTGCCCCACAGCGTATCTGGGCCGACAACGGGATCTGCTAACGACGCCACGTGCTTGCTGAGGGCCATCTATCGCACACGTAAGGGAAGCTCTACAGAGGGTCCTAACCACCCGTTTCTTGGTCACATGTGCTTATTTCCACCCTCACCCACCCCCTTGCTGTTCTCCCAACTCCTGTCCCATTTGCAAAGTTAGCAGAGACCTTACGCAAAAGTTAACTGCCTTTTCTGGGTGTGTCTGGAGCCCTCAGCTCTCAGGAGGGCCCCAAAGTTTCCTCCTTCTGCCCAAAGCCCCAGTCCAGCCAGGTAACAGCGATGGCGTGTGTTCCACTCCCCAGAAGGGAAGCCAGTTTGCTTCCCCAGCTCAGCTGCAGACATGAAGGTGGAGAGGCTCAGAGAAACAACGCGACCCGCCCAGGACGTGTGAACACACTTGGTAAACAGCCAAGTCAGGTGCAGGCACACACCCCTGTGAACTTGAAATGGCCCTGGCTCCTCTGAGATGGGCTTCTGAATGGGGCAGAGAGGGGCCTGCACCTGGGGAGGGTTCTACTTACTCTGGTGAAGGCGATATGAGGCCGTGGCATCAGGAAAGCGTGCTCCCAGGTGCCGGCCCAGCCCCTCCTGTGCACCCCCTCAACCAAGAGCCCACGGAGCCCAGCTTTCTCAGGGCACCAAGATCTACCCCCATGTGAGCAGGAGCCTCCACAGGCCTGTGCCTGAAGGAAACGGCTCAGGGCAAAGGCCACCAAGGCCACCTGTCCACGCAGACACCAGGTCTGGCCCAAGCACAGCTCCACAGCTGCTCGGTGGCCCCAGCTCAGGGCTGGGTAGGAAGTGCTAACAGACATGAAGCTTACCCTGGCTCACGAGGACCAACCACCCAGCCCCTCCCTGCCCCCTACACTGCTTCCGAAACCTGTCCCAGAATCTGTTGGAGGTTCCAGCTCTCATGTGCCTGCAACCACAGGGGGAGGGAGCCTTGTGTAGGCAACTTTACCAGACCCAACCAGACGACGGGATTTGGCAGAATAAGATCAATCCTGTAGGTGAGCTACTGAGGGGGACGAGAGGACAGAAAGAGCGGGCGCTGAGCTCTACAGAAAGCCGAATGTCGGGGGACAAGGAAAGGAGTGCCAGGCTGGGACAGCTCAGAGATGACGGGTCAGGAAACACTAGTGGCTGGGTGGCTAAGGGAAACAGGAGGCGGCCCCAGCCCGCTGGCCCCGCTAGCTCACACACCAGGGAGGTCTGGAGCCAGTTCTTCAGGTGCTGTAGAGCCGAGCCACGCGAGGGCCTGGAGATCGAGGAGGCAGAACGTGGGGTCAGCAGGAAAGGCTGGGACTGAGCGTCACAGGGCCAGTGGGGGAGGTGCAGGTCTGACCGGGCGGAGGGGCCAGTGAGGAAGGAACGGAAGAGGCTGAACGCAGAGTGGGAGGACGTGAGAACCCACAGGGGCTGGAGGACAGGAGGGCAGGGAGCTGCGAGCGGGCATTACCTGTGCTTCTCGCCCTCCTCCTCCCCTTCTCTAAGCTGCTTGGTCTGTGGCTCCGCATCTTCCTTGTCCTGCAAAGGGAGGGAGAGAACCGGCTGCTCAGATGAAGGAGGAGATCGTGGGAGGCACACGCAGGCCAGCAGCTGCCGCCTCCGAGCAGGCACGGCCGCTGTAACTGCCGCCACAGCACCGACGCCTCCCTCCTCGCCCTCAACTCCCGGCAGAATTCAAAACCCACCCCCCAGTCCAGGCCAAGGCCCAGAGGCCCTCAGACCACTAGCAGGGGGAGCCAGGAGGCTTCAGGTGCCACAGAGGGCTCACGCCACCAGCACCTTCCTGGGTCTGAATAGAGCCACCCGCTGAGCTGGGAGACTAGGGTGGAGCAGCCACCAGCAATCGGGAGGTCAGGCCCCGGACCTTCGCTCCAGAAACACCTCTGTGGTGCCCGTCAGCAGCAGCATGACTCAGCCTCAGACCGGCCTGTAACCACGCACCCCTGCACTGTCCTCGGGAAACGGAGGGAAGGGGAACTCGTTGAAATTCCTATGGGAAAAGCTTCCGTAAATCTGTCTTCCTGCTGCCCCCGACCTGCCTGTGAGTCTAGAGGTCATTCTCATCGCAGCCTTGACAGTATGCCTGCTCTCAGGTGCACAGGCCCACGGGAGGGCACTGCCAGGCTCCCAGCTGCAGCGAAAGCTCTGCTGGGCTCCCCACACTCAAACGTGCACGCAGGGTGTGTGAGGCTCCATGTCTGTCCGAATGCGTGACCTGCCCTCGGAGCACGGGGGAGGCTCCAGAATAGAGCCTGTCCAGGATCTGCCTGCACAAGGGGGAGCCCCTCAGGGGGTCAGTGTCACTTCCTCCCCAAGGACTGCTGTGACGAAGACAAGAGCGAGCTGGCATAGACACATCAGAACTGACAGCTGCTTGCCCTGTGCTCCTAGGAGTCGAGTGTGCCCCACGAGGGACACTGGCTTTGAGTCACTTCCTGCCAGCGTTCACCACGCTGACCCAGGCCACACGCCTATGGAGAGAAGACGCCGAAGCCAGGGGGAGGCCTGGCCCAGGTGGGGGTCGAGATGTGAACAGATTGAGATGCCTCCTCGCTCTCAGCCCGGCAGCTTGGTCTCTCGGGACAGGCAGCAGGAAGGAGTGACAGCAGCTAGAGAGGTCAACATGGTTCTACGGGGGGGGGGGGGGGGGGGGGGTGTTCCTACAGGGTGGGCAGGATGGGGAGACAGGAGGAAGAAGGCATTCTGGGAGGGAGGGGAGCACAGCTGAAGCAAAGGCGGTGTGGCCTGAGCACGCACAGGGACCGGAGCAGCAGCACCGTGAAGGCGAAGGTGAACATCGGCAGGCCGTCAAGGCAGGTGGGGCTGACACAGAGAGGAGGAGAGGGGAGCAGGGTGCTGATGGAGGGGGGACCAGAGGACTTTCTGGGAGCCTGCCCACCAGGGGGCAGCAGGAGGGCGAGAGGCATTCACAGGGATGGCCAAGAGGGAATGGAGAGCCTCATAGCTGAGAAACAAGCCAGGCTTCTCCACAGGCCCCAGGGCTGCTGGGCCGACCCACACACCCTCCCTGACTAAATGCTGGCCGATGAAGCCAGCCAGAAGCAGGACATGCAAACAAAGCTCCTTGCCCCTGCCAGCCGCAGGCTCCCTGAGGGCCAGAGGTGCTTGCCAAGGGGACGGGGTGATGGTGCTTCCCTTGGCAAGGAAGGACCAGAAGGAAGAGAAGAGGAGGCTCAGCTTCCCCCAAGTGGCTGCTGGGCAGCTCCCCCCCACCCCGCCAGGCTCCCTTCCATGGGGCTCACCTGGGCCAGCTGGTAGAGAGGCGGGGACTGCGGGAACAGCCTTTGGGAGCAACCTTTGCAAACACCATGTCCCTTCCCAGCCCTGAGCAAGGGCCACTCAGCAGCCGTGGCTGCCACCACCTGGAATCCCAGAGACACTCAAGTGCCTGGCAAAGGCCAAGTTACTCATTAATAAAATGGAAAACACCCAACTATCTCAAGAGCATTTTTAAATGCCCAGCAGTTTGGTGGGTGGGGTGCAGCATGAGCTCTGCAGACAGGGTGAGGGTAAGGAGGGCCCCAGTCTGGGTGCTGTGCCATGAGCAGGGGCTCAAGAACAATGAAGATGCCAAAACCGGTTTGGCTCAGTGGATAGAGCGTCGGCTTGCGGACTGAAAGGTCCCAGGTTCGATTCCGGTCAAGGGCATGTACCTGGGTTGCGGGCATATCCCTAGTAGGAGATGTGCAGGAGGCAGCTGATCGATGTTCCTCTCTCATCGATGTTTCTAACTCTCTCTCTCTCCCTTCCTCTCTATAAAAAAATCAATAAAATATATTTAAAAAAAAAAAAAGAACAATGAAGATACACGCGTGGGCAAGGGCAGGTGACCAGAGACACAGGCCCCACCAATGTGCGGGCACGGGACCCAGTCTTCCTGCTGAACAGCGACACAGACAGGACAGCTTTTAAGCGCTACTGGCCTAGGTCACAAGGCAGGACCCTCCCTGCCTGGGAAGGGGCAGCGGTGCAGACAAGCCTCACAGTCCCCCGCCCCCAGCCTGGGAGCCTCAGGCTCAGAACTGAAGGGCTGGCAGGACAACTGCCGTCAGAAAAGGGGGAAGGATTTGCCCAAGGTCACAGAGGTCCTCCCGACACCCTGCACCCTCACCAAGGGGATGAGAGTCAAGAGTGGCACTTGGTTCTAGAAACAGCCCCGCCCCCGCCCTCTCCCATGCTCCCACCTTCAGAGCTGGCCATGTGCACTCAGACCTGGCGGACACTCGTGGGAGGAGCACAGGCAGGCAGGGCCTCAGGTGCACAGATTCTCAGGGGATCTAGAGACACCCCACCCACCCCGAGACCCTTAAATGCAACTCACTGCCTAATGCCCCCTTATACACACCCCTCCCAGATCTCTGTGCCTCTCCTTCCTTCCCAGTCCTGTTCGTACTTCCCCTCTCCTACACCACCTCCAAGCCTGGGCACAGAACTGCCAGCTCTCTATTGCCAGGGACTGGGGGAGGGAGGAGGGAGGCTGACCCTCCTGGGCAGGCAGTGATGTGGGCAGGCTGCAGGCCCCCGACTCTGAGCCCCTGGCACTCAGTTTGCTGCTAGGACTACCTGGCCCCTCTGCCCACCCTGCCCTGCAGCTGGCGAACTCCTTGAGGACAAATGCTTCTCATCCATCTGTGCCCATGGGCCTGACCGGCCTCGAGGGGGCACAGCATAGTGTGAGCCGCGGGCTCTGGGCCAGAACTCAGGTAGCAAGATGTGCTTCATGCTGCTGTGCTGTGACCTCGGTTTCCTTGTCTATGAAAACGGGGACAAGCAGCCTGATGTTATGCACAGGTGCAAAAAGGAATGGCCTGGGCCAAGGAGAAGACCTGCGTGGACGAGGCAGCAGACCCCGAGGGCAGGAAGGAAAGGGCTGCACAGATGCTTCTGGACAACAGGCCAGACTGTTTGTGTCTGCAAAGGTCGTGCTGGGCTTTCACTTTCTCCCTTCTCACCTGCTCTCTCTGCAACCCCCACCAGGTGGGAGTGTGTAACTTCTGACGATCTGCACGGGGCACATCGGATTCCCCACACGGTGCTTCACCGAGACTCTCAGACTCGGAGGCGGGCAGAGGGTCACTGCTCTCCCATGGGGCGGGGCGAGCAGTCCCTAAAGGCTCACAAGCAGAGGGAGCCAAAGGCAGGGAGCTGGAGGCGGGAGGACAGTAGGAAGCTGGGGATAGGGCTGCAGATAAGAGCCAGAACGGGGTCAGTGGCAGTGGGATAGGACAAGGGGTGCCTGAGTGCTCTGAGGAACAGGGAGGAGTCTGAGGCAATGGAAGTCTGACCATGACTCACTGGAAGAATGAGGTGCCTTGGACTAAAAAGGTGATGGCACTCAGGGGACAAAAAGGAAGGGTGTGGCCGCTTTCAGGCAGGCTGGGCGAGGCCTGATGCCTGGAGTCTGACGAAGGCCAGTGCAGACAAAGGCCGGGGGTCCCGGTCCCATGCCTGGCAAGGTGTCTGGGCAGTGGAAAAGAGGGCTCACTCCTCAGCAGAGGCAGGGTGGGCCCCCCCACCAGCACCCCATCACAGGGCCTGCACCAGATGACCGCTGCCGTCCTGCCTGTGGCCAAGGAAGGTGGAGAGCTGGCCCCAAGCCAAGTCTGGTCTTATTCTTGCCAAAAGTGCACTTGGGAAACCAGCCATGCTCCAGAGACAGCAGATACCCCCCCAGCAGATTATCAGGCGGCAACCACTGACTGGCTCCCTGTGCCAGGCACCCACGCTGGGTGCTGAGAAAAAAGAACGAGTGGGCACCGAGTGTTCACAGCCCAGGGTGGGCACCCAGCCTTGGTGCATGGACAGGATCCCAGAGGTCAACGACCAGACATACACAGGCCAGCTGGGAAAAGGCTCCTTTCCTGGAGTAAAAGCCCACCGTTCTTCAGCTTCTCAAGTGGGTAGTGACCCAGAGGAGGAAAGGGAAGTGTCCACAGCATGGTGTGGGGGGTGAGGTGGATCTCTGGGTGGCACAGGGGGTGTCTGGAGAGGCTGAGTGGGAGCTGGGGCAGGGGGTGCAGGGAAGGGCAGCAGAGGGAACAGCTAGCACTGTGAGTGTGCCCAGGCTGAAAGGGCCCCTCTCCTGCTCCGCGGCCCCAACAGGAAAGCAGCCCTTGCAAGGTCACGCCAAGGTCCTTCACACACAGCCAGCCTGGAACAGCTCCCTGGGCAGCCAGGCAAGGCTCCAAACTCCCGTGGGGCCAACCCCGTAGGGGGGCTGTGGTGTGGAGGCAGCCAGGCAACACGCCTGGACAGGCAGGTGGTCAGTCAGCCTCAAGTCCGCTGCTGACCAGTGGCGGGACCTCTGGAGGCGGTTTCCTCCCCTGTGCGAGGGGGTCGGTGCTACTTCTGCAGGGGCTGAGTGTTAAACAAGGTAACCGGAGTCCACGGTCTCATGCAGGACCCACGTGACACCCACTGTGGGAAATGGCATCCTGGGGTTCTGACCCCTGATGTCCATCAGCAATGGGCCTACCTTGAACCCTGACCCTTGCTGCATCTTCTAGGAAACCAGATGCTCCCTGTTTTCACCACCACCACCCTGCCCTAACCCCCACCCCCAAACCCAAGAAGGCAGGCACCCTGCTGACTTCTGGGAACCACAGAGACTGAAGAGGTACCAGGACCCAAGGCCCAGGTCCAGCCTGGGACACAGAAGGCCCATTACTGTCAGACCAGCCATCAGAGAAAGTGAGCTACAGCTGACATTTTAAATGTAGCAACGTGCAAACGGAATAGTACTTTATTTTTTGCCAAGTTTCTGTAGATGACAAACTTTTGATGTTTAAAAATGAGGCTCAAATGAAGAATGACCCGATTCCCTCAGGGGCCCAGAGGCCCCAGGCCGGAGGAACAGGCACACCTGTGAGCTTCCCCACAGCCTGGCTCTGCACCCACATAACCCGGTGGGTTTCAGCGCTTCCCTGTGCGGGCTGCAGGCTGCACCGTGTCAGCAGGCCTTTCTTCCAGGCAGGCCGCTGACAACTGTCCCGGCACGGAGGCAGCTGGGGGTGCCGTCACCAGGTTCTGCGTCCCTCTGTCTTCCCTCCGAGATGGGACGCTCCAGAGGCCTGTCTGTCACTGTTCCCAGCACCTGGCACACAGCAGCAGGTGGAGCAACAGTGAATGGGTGAAGGAATGAACCTCCCCCACACTGGGAGAGGCAGGGCTCACAGGCGAATCCCCCTGAGAGAGAAAGTTCTCCCCCACCTTGTCTGAGCCTCCCAGCAGCGCCGGGCTCCCAGCAGGCTTGCCCCACGGATCCAGGGGCTGAGGCCCAGCGGCGCCTAACGCAGGTCTGTGTGTGTCAGACCACACGCTTCTTCTCAGTTTGGGGACGCAGACAACTGGAAGCCGAGTTCCCTGCTGCCACACACCTGCTCCTTCGCCCGGAATATCTGTCCTCTCCTCCCTCCAACATTACCTTCTTTCTTCTCCTGTCAAAGGAGGGAAATCCCAACCATGGCCACGTCTTGGGGGTGTGGTAGGGAGCACCTCTAACCAGGTTCCCAGTACAAGGGAAGCTCTGCAGAGGGCTGGACCCAACTGCCATTCATCTCTGCAGTAACAGCAGTCATGACAGTACGCCAGGCAATTAATTATCTGGTTAATTAAATTATCAGTACTATGTAAGCAGTCACCGAGGAATCTAGTAAGGTCAGCACTGCGTTCTCCGTTCGCACATGAGAAAAACGGGGTGCAGTTAACCCACCCAGGCTCACACACTCGGTGCCGTCAGGGCCCAAGGGTGAGGGTGGGCTCAGGTCTAGACTGCCCAGCGCCCTGCTCGAACCCGACTCCCCCTTCACACACACAGGTGGTCTCACTGGGATCTCACAGCACCTCAGCATCACCTCTGCCACAAGCCAACTTCACAACCACCAGGGCTGACATCTCCTCTTGGTGGCAGGCCAGAGGGGCATGACCAAGCCACCAGGAGCAACTCCCACCCAGAAAAGCACCCCGAGGAGCTGAGAGCGGATGATTCCTCTGTGGCTGTCTCGTCAGCGGGAGAGCGGGAGCTACGAGGCGAGTCCGACCCGCCGGGCACCGTTAGGCAGGTCAGCTGCTCTGCAACCGCCAGAGTGGTCCCTAAAATAGCAACCTGATGGGCGGCGCCGTGAAGATGACCCACAAGGGACACAGAGCCCACACCCATGACCATGAGCTCAACCGTGGCCAAGGACTGCACAGGCTCACACAACACAACTGTGGAAAGCATTTCTGCACTTCCTTTAATTCTGTAGTCAAAATGATTTAATAACGAAATGATTTAAAAACAAAAGCAACTCGAGGAATCCAGCTGACTGGCGCTCACTGTCTTGACATTACTCACACCCTGAACAGACCCTCCTGGCCTTCGCCTGGCTCAACGGGCAAGCAGGAAACCACGGCTGGCCCTCACGCCCAACACAGCCTAGGCAATGTCTTATGACCTTTCTCAGGCTTTAAAACACACACACACAAAACACTAACCAGCAACGCTGAGAGGAGAGGAGGGAAGACACACCTGCACACACCAGGGCCCTCCTGCAACCCAAACTGGCCCAGAGGCCCAGCCAGGAGCGGCACTGCAGGCCGCGTGCCCTCCCATCAGGCCGCACATCCCCCAATTCAGGGAGAACATTTCAGTTGAGAAATTAACTGATGGTGGCACGAGGTCGCCTCCCACCCTCTCACCCGGCCCCACCACTTCCCTTTTTTTGGAGGGCACAACGCCTCCTGCCAGGAAGCCCACTCACCACCACCTGGACTTCCTCTCCATGGTGGGATGAGAGGAGGAGCGAGAGTCACGAGCAGATGTCCAGTATCAGTCCTCCTCATGGAGCTCTGGGCGTGGCCCGGACCCCCTGCCCATCCTCCCAGTGGGCAGCCGAGGCATCAGGCCGGGAGGCCCAGCGGGTCCGTCTGGGGGAATGGAACCGCCACCCAGACTCTCTGGTCCTGAGGACACGCAACTGATGTCTGACCTGCCGGCTAGAGAGCAAACAGGCTTCCCCTAGCACAGGAGCCGGCAGCAGACAGGGTTCTGAGGCTGAGCCTGTTACTGTGTTCACCAGCCTGGGGCCCGATGGAAAGAGCAAGCTGAACACCCCAGGGAGCGGCTCCTGAAAGTGACACCCTTACCTCGCACACACAGCCTAGGCACACAGGCCTGCTGACACCAATTCTGGGCTCCCCCCCAGAGCTGCCAACAAGACCACACCAGGCCTCCCGGGCCACATCACAGCACAGATTCTGGAAACTCAGTTATCTGACCAGATTCACACCTGAAGCTCCTCCGGCTGCCATGACTGCCGCCGGCAGACTTTCAAGTCAGTCTCTGGACTCTTCCCAAGGGCACGCCTGCTTTTCCCTGAGAAAATCCTCAGCCAGCTCCCACACGCTGCCCAGTTCCTTCCTCTCTCCATTCAAATACTGCAGAGCGTCTCTGGGCTTGTCGTCTGGAGACATGACTGCTGCCCTCAGGGAGCTCAGGGGCAGGTGGAAGAGGAAGCGGCCTGTCCGGCTACCCTGGCTTCCTGGTGCTCGGGGAGTGCCCAGTGACGAACAGCTGAGAAGAGGACACCTGAGCTCAGCTGCCCTGAGGGCGAGCAGGCTGTCCCTGCTGGGAAGAGGGAACGGCAGGGCAGGGAGTGCTGGGTGACGGGAAGGAGGGAAGGCCAGCCCGGCTCCGACGTGAGCCCACAGCACTGAGAACCAGCAGGAGTCCGGGGACGGACAAGGAGGCGGCAACACGGGGTTAGCGTGTTATTTATGAAGAACATTCAGGAAGTACCAGAAAGGAAAGGGCAAAGGTCACTGGTGGAAGCCATTGGAAAAAAAAGGAGCTGGAAATGATCGAGAGCCACCTTCTTACTTCCAGGACAGCAGCGGGCAGCTGCCTGTGAGTCTGCCTGGAGGCTCCCTTCCTCATGCCAACAGCGCTCCCAAAGCTGCCACTCCCTCTAGTGCACAACTACCTGGGATCATCCAAACGCAACGGAACGAAGGGATTTACCCAGTGGCTCACCCCGCCTAAAAGGCGGCCAGCATTTAACTGAGGTTTCCTGATTGCATCATGCTTCCAAGACTCTCAGATAAACAGCCCCCGGCTGGGGCGTGCTTCCCCACACAGGAGCCCGAGAGGTGTGAGCAGGTCCATCCTTACCAAGTGAGAAAAGTAAGAAAACCACAAACTGTTGGGGCTGCGAAGGCCTCAAATATCATCCGCACAGGAGGAGCCAGTTAGAGAGAGACCCACCATTTCAGAATCTCCCAGGCTGAGACCTGCAGATCCAAATGTCCCAGGAGCCTGCCCTCTCCCAGGCCCTGCTTCTACCACACGCCCACTGAGGCGTCCCTGGGCCGACCACACCCTCCAGAAGCTGACCCAGTGGAGGAGGGGACCGCATGAGGCCACACCAAGCTGCTTGGGGACCTGCTGTGGTCACCAGGGTGAGCTCTGGACAGAGCAGGCCTGATGAGGACACAGAGCAATCTCTCATACAACATAAGCGTCCTGAGGGCACAGGAGGTCCAGGTAGTGTGAGGCATGAGGAGGCCTCTGGACTCACGTTGGCTGGTCTGTCCACTTTGCATGGTGCTGAAGCCACTGGAAGGCGACTGGAACTTGAGTGCCCAGGTCACTCTATGAGCTGCCCAGTACCTGTCCTTGGGGGCAGAAAGACCTCACCCAACCCACGGGGAGTCCCTGGGAGGCCAGGAGGCAACCACTGGCAAATGGAGACGCTGGGCTCAGGACAAGTGATCTGTGGACTTGGTCCCAGCCCCCCGCCCAGCCCAAGTCCATCACAACGACCTCTCGGCAGTGGGTGCTAACCAGGCCTGGGGGCCAGCCTCCCATCCTTCCATCCCAACACAGGCTCCAACGTGGGACCTGAGCTAGAAAAGCAAGTTATTTACAGGTCTGTTCCCAGGCAAGCCAGGGGGTACGGAGCAACCAGGTGTGCTGCTCCTCGGAGCTATTTTAACCCGTATCAGCTGCTTCTCGGAGTGTCACAGCCTAAGTGGTCAAGGTAAGACACTGTCTCCTCCCTGGTGTGACCTGCAAGTGATAAAATCCTAATTAAAACCAAATTCACACTGCAAGTCAGAACGGGCACATCTGTGGGAGAAATATTGCGGAAACAAGCTCTTTTAACCCTCAGCTACGCACATCTACTTCCTGTGGGAGCACCATGTGCTGTTAACCATGTGCTGGGCTGAGGGTGAGAAGGCACTCTCCCCTCCTAGGCTGCAGGGGCGTCACACAGGGAGCCCAGGTGATGGCCGGGTGAGTCCTCCTCAGTGGGCAACAACCACGTAGGGTGATGAGGACAGTGGAGCCTGATGCTCCCCCTCTTCCCGTCACCGCAGTGTGAGGCCATGGAATCCCACTGCTCAGATGATGCCCACTTCCCCACCCCCCGCCAAAGAGGGGCACATGCCTCCCTGCACGTAGCCCCTTCTCTTCCCTCCGTTCACCCAGCTGCCACCAGTGTCACCGAGGAAGACCCACCCCTTGCCCCTGAGCTGCCCAGTTTAGAAGGGCATTTCCTACACGAATGCAGAGAACGTGAGTCCAAGTCAGAAAAGGCGAGCCGCAGTGTGTGGGGTGAGGTCCCTGGGGTGGGGGGCTTACACAGTTGATCTCCCCAAGTTCAGACCACCTCCACTCTGGCCTGCCCTGCTCCTGCCCCTGCCCCTGCCCCTCTCCCGGTTCCACGCCTCCAAACAGCTACTGCCCTACCAGCCCTCCACTCTATCCCTTGGCAAGTATTTTCTCAGCCCCTCTGCCGATTCACACAGAGCGCCCAGGTGGGGACATGACCCCTATGCCACCAGTGAGATAAAGCGGAGACCGTGCATTCACAGTGGGCTCAGAAGCTCCCTCCTCCATGCAGCCTACTGTGTGCAAGTGTCACCCCCCACCCCGGGCCCTGCTGCCAGCCCTCCCTCCAGGACGCCCCTCCATGGCGTAGAGGAGCGCGCTGTATACGGCTGGTGGCACACGGCTGTTTTCCTGCTGATCCGACGCCCTCACACAGCAGGCCCTCCCCAGGAAGAGGAAGGCCGGTGCCGCTCGGTGGCTGAGCATTGACCTATGAACCAGGAGGTCACAGTTCAATTCCTGGTCAGGGCACATGCTCCAGATTTGGGCTCCATCCCCAGTGTAGGGCCAGCAGGAGGCAGCCAATCCATGGTTCCCTCTCATCATTGATGTTTCTCTCTCTCTATCCCTCTCCCTTCCTCTCTGAAATCAATAAAAAAATATTTTTTAAAAAATAAGAGTAACACTAGTGGGTGCAGAAGAAGGGCCAGGTAACTTACTCCTCACCCCAGAGGGCCCCACACTCACCCCCACTCCCTAAGAGAGCCCTGCACCCAGGCTGGAGAGCCCTGCTGTCAGGGATCAAGCAGGTGCTTTCTTAGGACTCAATCAGCCTGTGTGATTCCAGAGGCACCACCCTGAGCACACTGTGCAAGGGGAGGCGCTGTCCTTGAAAGGACAAATGTTTTCTGCTCCAGCCACACGCTTTCTCTAGACAGAACGGTTCTTTCCAGCCCTGAGTCAAAGCAGCCCTGGAGTGTGGCTTTTACTCCCCACGGGGCGTCGTTACCACAGCAACTGTATTTCCTCTTGGAATTCTTTCAAAAATTCAAGCTGTAGATTCCCACCAAAACAAAACCGGAGAGAAACCAGGGGAGCTGGGAGCTGGGATTAAGGGAAGGCCCCTGAGGGAAGGAGGCCACACATGAGGCTCTGGCCAGGTCAAGCAGAGACGGGGCTGACGGCAGGTGTCCGATGGCAGGTGTATTAATCCAGAAGCACAGAAACGAAGGGCAGGCTTGCTGACTAGAAGTTTATAGGCCAGGGGTGTGACTGCACCGCGACCTGCCCAGTTAGGAATCTATCATCAGATCACCGGGGAGGCTGCTTTCTGCAAGACCCTGTTCATCGCCCAGACCCGCCCCTCCAACCTTCCAGAGATTCCTCCTAAATGCCTGCAGGGTGAGCCTCAGGGCACGGAGCTCGGCTTCACCTTTGCTGTCTAAACTCGGTAGCTGGGACCTCATCCAGCCCTGGGGCTTCACCTGCCTCCCATCGGAGCCCAGATCCTGCCTGCCTCTCTCCACGGAGAGCTCTAACTGTCACCCCAGGCTTACACAGCCAAAACCAGAGGAACTTCCCCTTCAAACCCACTCTCCCTGCAGGGCTCATCTCAGAGGCAGGCACCCTCACCGCCCGTCTATCCAGTCGCCCTGGGAGGGCCACTGCCTCATGGGGGGACTCACGCAGCCACCTCCGACCTCCACACAGTCAGGCCTCCAAGGGCTCCCCACCCCCATTATGGAGTGGGGTCCAGCCTCAGGGGCCCCGCCTCCCGGGCCCTCTCTATTCTCAACCCCACCTTGCCCCCCAGCCCTTCACTCCGACCCTGCCACCCAGAGGTCCTTTCTGGCCCTCAAAAAGCCAAGCGAGCTCCCTGCTCAGCCAGAAATGCTCCCCCCTAGATCTTGGTATCCCCTTTGCCACTTGCCTCCTCCCCGCCCCACCCCATCTCCCACACCGAGATCCTTCCATGCTCACAAGTTCCTCACTTATCCCCTTTTACATGCACACTGTCAGCCACCCCTCCTGTGGGAGTCCCGTGAGGCAGGCCCCTGGCACTCCCTGGTGCTCAACAAACATGTGCTTGGGGCCCTAACCGGTTTGGCTCAGTGGATAGAGCGACGGCCTGCGGACTGAAGGGTCCCAGGTTCGATTCCGGTCAAGGGCATGTACCTTGGTTGCGGGCACATCCCCAGTGGGGGATGTGCAGGAGGCGGCTGATCGATGTTTCTCTCTCATCGATGTTTCTAACTCTCTATCCCTCTCCCTTCCTCTCTGTAAAAAATGAATAAAATATATTTTTTTTAAAAACAAAAACAAACATGTACTTGGGGGCGGCTGCAGAGTTCCCACAGTGAGGACGGCAGCCATGCTCCAGGGAAAGGAGGTGCTCAACTTCCAGTGACAGAAAGCCAGAGCGATCAGAGATTCCAGAAAAACGAACCATCTGCGGAACTTAAAAAATGCATGGACTTCTAGGCTCTACACCAAGATCTACACCCAAGAAAGAAGGTCTGGGGTGGGGCCAGAGAAGAGATTGCAAACTGTTCCCCAGGTGACCCAGAGGCACAGGGAGGTCTAAGAACCTGACTGAGCAAACATCTTCATTTCACACGCGTCAAGGCCTCAGCGAGATGACTCAATGCAAAGTGCCAACACCGGCTCATCAACAGGTGTCTGTGCTGGGAGCCCCACATGCCCGCCCACAAGGCCTCCCTCTCATTGGCCGAGAAAGTCGGTCCTTGGGAAGAACAGGCACTGACTGTTCCCCATCGTGGCTGCAGAACTTAGAATACAGAGCTTAGAACAC